AAAATATTCAAATAATTAGTGGTAAGAATGGTGAAATAGACAGTTATAATAAGATGGAATATATTTCAATGGGTCAAAAATATTAAAAATTAAATTATCTGATGGTGAGAATTATATGAAATTTTAAATGAAATTTATAAATTTATCAAAATAAACGAGCTAATAAACGGTACAATATCAGCTGATTGTCACAAATTTCGCAAGTTTAATGAAAACAATATAGAAAATATGGAGAAATTATTTAATACAGTTTAGGAAATACTTTAAATGTGATCGCTATGGCAGCAGAAAAAATATTGCGAGTGAAAATTTAAATTTCTAGTGAAATCTTAATAAATCTTCAACAAGGCATATATTAGCATAATATCTAGTTTCATTACTTATCTAAAGTATCCAAAAAGTATGCAAAAAAAAGTTAGTATTATTGCTAAAGTAATAATTTTTTTTTAAAGAAAAGTACGAATTGCATTTGGTAGCTTGACAAATATGTTATATGAGAAATTTAACGAAATTGCATTACTAATCGTTTACTTTAGCTCTTTTTTTGCTTTTCAAAACTGAAAAAAAAATTGAATGACTTAAAATTTTACAAATTTAAAATATTTTAGAATATGCAATGTTTTCAATCGATGATGACAACAGATTGTTATGTTATTCGAGCTGCGGAACGTATACGTATTAATGTTTCCGATATTGTCATTGGTGACATTGTTTATCTCTGGTACTTTATTGATTATTTAAATCAATTACTATAGAGATGATAATTTTTGCAAAAAAAAAGAATTAGAATAATTATGCAATTTTTTGTTTGATAATCTTACGCTTAATTTCTAGATGAAAAAAAAAAACTTTAATGAAATATGAAACTATTTCAAATTAATATGCAGAGCACGATTTACATTACTGATGATCGTAATAATAAATATGGGCAATTAATAATAATAGTGATAATCACATATGGTATTAATACAGTAAATAACTCATAGATGCTATTGATCGAACAGATGATATAGTAAAAATTAACTGATAAACAACAGATATGCACAGTGATAATGATGAAATTGCTGGTAATAGTGATAATTTATAATTTATCAAATATTGCAAATGTATGAGATCTCATGAATTAATAATAATTCTAACAACTAGCAAAAGGAATGTACTGTATAACTAAGCAGGCTAATAAAATGAATTAAAGAAATAAATGCTATTGATCGATATTCCTTCAATTATTTCATACAAGCTTTGGAAATTATGATAAACAAATTCTAAAATAAAAAACTATATCAAATATCAATTTGACAAGATTAATTTCAAAAATTATCTTTGCTTTATTTTTGTTTTAAATAACAAATTATATCAATTATTTTAAAAAATTTGCTACTTTTGAAAATCTTGACTTCAAATTATATTAATATTAATTATATTAGTATTATACGCTTTAAAGCGAATACATTTAATAGAAATAAAGCATTTATTAAGTCCCGGAGCTCGCGTGCCAGCTGATTTACGATTAATTTATACCAATGAATTAAAATTGGATACGTCATGGATAACAGGTGAATTGGAACCGCTTGATTTTTGCGATATAACAGTACCAAAAAATGTAACAGCATTAGGGGCGCAAAATATTGCCCTTAATGGTTGTTTATGTACCAACGGTATCGGATATGGTGTAACAATTAGGACAGGCAATAGTACGGTATGTTTTATTTCAATATACAATTCCGAATTTACATAATAAAATTAAACAAAAAAAAAAAAGAAGAAAACGAAAATATATACAAATAGTGAATAATTATGTATAATATTCATACAATAATCATATCTATTTTAGTAAATAAATCCAGTAAGGCATTTATTTTTGATTTGAATAAATGCTGTTAACAAATAATCTTCAACAATTGTAAATAATAGTATTCATAAAAAAAAAACACAAAAACAAATTGAATGAAATGATCAAATAAGAAGATTTCTAATGACACACACACACACACACACACACACACA